AACACGTTTTTTAAGAATAACCGAGACAGGGAAAGAGAGATAGAGCGGGGAACAGATGAAGAAATTTCAGACTTTTCAAGTATTGGTTTTGTAGGGAATTTGTTGGATTAGTTGGAGGATTTCATTATGAGCTGAAATCAGTTAGTTGGAGAACCATTGGAAAACCAACTGGGAGTACTGAACAGCTGTTCCGTCAGCCTAGTTCGGGACTCTTCAGAAGGTCCTGGGTTCGAACCCCAACCGGTGGATGCATACTGCTGAAGGGTCACCAATTAGGACAGAGGATACAGCTGTCCAGTACTGTTAGTTGGTTTTCCAATTGTTCTCTAACTGATGTCAGCTCATGATGAAATCCTCCAACAGATTTATTCTGGGAATTATCTTTGAACACTACATGGAATTCTCAGTCTCATTTCTTGAAAAACAATTTTACTTCCCGTGAAGAGTCTTCAAGCAAAGTATTCATCCACAGCACATGATATGGCTCAGTGTCTTCCTGTATGAAACGAGACTCAATCTCCAATGGAAGTGTTTTCTTCATTTTCTTCTTGTTATGCTCAGTGATAGGCTGGAAGTTAATTGAAAATTTGGGTGTATTCATGTTGCTATACAAAGGCATCATTATAAACTAATGACAATGAGAAGGAATGCAGACAACTCGCTAAAAAGATCCATCTACAGAAAGCCTACATGGAACTGACAGTTTATTAACTTTTAGAAGCTTTGTACCTCTAAGCAAAAAGAGAAACCTAATATACTCTTTCCTTGAGGATCCTTAAGATTTGCACTGAAGAGTCAATCGATGAAGAATTAGAGAACCTGAAACCAAGGAAAACACTTGGAAAGGTCCAAGTTGCCCACAAAAAGATGCTGATATTGAACCTCCAATTTGAAAGTGATACCAAAGCAGAAATTCTCAGTAGACGGCTTTCGAAGTCTCTCTCGCCGCCACCCTACGAATGACATTCTCCTGCAATAAACTACTCACCCAACATGTGAAAGACTAGCTGTCGCATTGGGCCGCTTCACCATACATATACAAGTTCACTTGCTCATGTGGAGCTGAGTACACTGGCCGTACCATGTGTCCGTTTGTAAAACGCGCTCGGGAACACTATCCTGCATTGCTAGCGAAGGGAGAACGCAAACGGGGTACACAGTTCAATAACAGAGCATCTGGTAAATTCCGGACACTCAGCCCTGTTTGAAAAGTCCTTCAAAGCTATCTTTAGGATCCGATCCAACTTAGCAAAGGACGTGAAATCAAGACATCTAGGAATAGCTGAGGCACTGGCGATCCAAAAACTCAAGCCTATTCTATGTGTCCAAAAGAAATACGTCCAACCGTTGTCCCTACCATGACCATCATGAAAAATTAGTCTTACCAATAATGATTATGTGCATCAGTGGCACAGTGGTTAGGACGCTCGCCGACCATGCACATGGTCCGGGGTTCAATCCCCCACCGACGCACTCCTTTACCTCGCCAAACCAGTAATAAAAAGCCGGTGAAGAGGAAAAGTTGGGCATGAGGCTAGCAACCTCATCCTGTAAAAGTAAAACACTGCTACAGAAACTTTAAGCCTCTAGCTTGAAGCCCTATGTTCCACTGGGGACGTGAAGGAAAAGAAAGAAAGAATAATGATTATCCTATTACCTTTCTTGTCCAACCTTCCCGTTTATTTGTTATATTTGCCTTTTAATTCCCTAACTGCATTATTATGGGATTTGGTTACTGTTTTTATTTTTATATGTCCAAACTTCCCACCCATTTCGTTAATACTACATCCTTAACTCGCAATTATACAAACTGAATAGTTTTCGAGTAACTGTGATCCTATTTTGTCTCTTCTACCCGATTTTCCTTACTATTACACATTGTAATTCTTAATTTGACCTTTGGCCTGAAGCATTTCTAAAATAGTGCCACTACCTATCTTCTGTTTATTACACTTAGTAATCTTATTAATCTGACCTCTGACTAGAAATAATTCTGGAACTCTCTCACAAACATGTAATATAAATACACGAATGTACAGCTCTGTCTAGTTGATGACATCGTCGAAAAGAAAATTTTCTTCGCTGCAACCATCTCTTTTAATAATTCCAATGATCCAGTGTGTATATTTCGCGGTTAAAAGGAGAAAAATAGAGGCGTTATTCTTGACATAAATCTAAGTTACCCCGGAGTTGAAACAGACTATCAAGTAAGATGATTATTTCATAGTTGGGGGGGTTTGGAAACTTCAATTCCTTTTGAAATAGTCACTGAAGACGTTGTCTAGAATAATATTAATAATTTTTGATTTACTCCACAAACAGTACTAATGATACAGCAAGGACTTTTCAGCATTCAGTACAATATTGCATCTAATTTACTCAAAAACGACAAAAAAAACAAAATAAAAAATAAACATTACATAATAATAATAACAAAACATTGTTATGGCAGCTATGTAGCACATTACTGTATGCAATATGGAGAAAAATATGCATAAAGTATAAAAGTGTAGTAATAATAGTAATAACAAATAAAATAAAAATAGCAAAGTTATAATTAAACGATAGAAAGGGTGACACCATAAAATTACAGAAAGATGAACGATGAAAGGGTCGATTCACTTTGCTAATTACATAGTAACTACTTATGTGTTTCACGTCTGACAGAGTCTTCATCACATAAAATACGGGCTAAATGCGGTTTGTAGAATTTTTGTACTTAGTGGTGCGAGCATATAACTTTTTATATTGACTTCTCGTCCTACCTGATGAGATACAAGGTGATAGTTGTGAATAAAGGGGGTGCAGAGGGTCTGACAGTACCGCCTTTGCCCATTTTGTACAGGAATTTATGTGTCTCTCGACTATAGTATTGGCGAGCTCACGCACTGGCATACCACGAGCCCTACTCATAGCATTTTATACCCTTCGCAATATGATATAGTCTTTTTTGAGAAGCCCAGAAAAAGTTATTCGAGAGCAATAGAGTACAAAGTTAAAATACAGCAGTTTACAAACTGCAGAAGTAAAGGTTGGTTGATACCTGAATGTCTTAACTTTTTAGTGTAGAAAGTAAGATGAAACATGGGATGACCATGAAAGGTCAGAAGAAAGGACTTATCCAAGGTATATAATGCTTGACTTGGTTTCAATTTCAGTGCCATCTATGCTACAGGCATCATGGGAACTAACTAACTCATGGATGTCATGTCGATGCTTGAGATTAAAGTTAACTGCCTGACATTTGGAAGGATTTAACATAAGACCATTTGACTTAGACCACTTGCTGTTGTCCAAATGAAAGCTATTAAGTTTGGAGCAGTCAGACTCGGAAGTGATAGGCAGTGAAAGTTTGGTAAACTAAATTTTCCAGATCAGTGAATGTAATGACAGTAAAAAAAAAATTCACTAAAGTCACAAATCTCTATTAATGACGAGGCATCTTCTGAGAATTCATTCACATTTTCCCTCATATATTTATAAATACATATACTTCAATATTTCTGCTGCAGCGGGGAAAAGTTCCCAATTTTAGATTTGTTCATTTGCTGTTGTTACTATATTTTAAGATGAATTATTTCTACGATATATGACCAGACACCCAAAACTATAAGTATTCAGATGACCAATTTTCCTATTCTGCTCGTTTCCTTTTTACCAGGGTCACTTTACGCTGAATCTAACTTCCATGAACATAAGTTAATCAATCCATGTTCAGAATTTCTAGCATCTGTACGTGCACTACAACAGGAATTGAGCAAATGTGTTACCGCGCATATGTTCACTTCAGAAGCAAGTAATTTTTTTGCGACGCTTAAATGATATATTTCAGTGGGAAACGATCTCTAGGATTGTCAAATTCTTGACGAAATCATACACAATGTAGAGTTAGGAGATATTCCCCCCATATAACTACCTTCACGAATGCTTGAAGTCCTCAGCCAACGGAGGTTCGATGTACGACTCTTTAGAGAATTCATTTTGTCAAAGTTATAACAGCCAGATGTTAATGAAGATAACAATATTAGATGTTAGATGGTTGGAGGCAATCGGCAGGAAGCCTTGGACCTAGGTTTCGTGCTAGTTGGTACTCTCACCAGTCGGCAAGGAGTATCTGCAACCTCGAAGGAACTGATGTCCCTTCTGAGATTCGAACCCGCGATAGGATTCAATCTGCACCGAAGATAAGACTAGACACATTACACTAGTTGCTGACTAGCGTGCAACCAAAAATATCCAATACAGTCCTACAGCAGGTCAGTTGCGAGCCTGAATAGCTCAGTGGTAACGTCTCAGACTGCAGGACTGGGTGACGTGGTTTATAATCTCAGAAGGAGGGGCATGAGCTCAGGGTTACGGGTACGCCTTGTTAACTTGTGACCGCCAAATAACACGAAACTTAGGTGAGGTTGCATCCAACCATCTAATATCAAATATTCGAAGTGCGCGGTGATGGAAAGCCATCTAGATTGATGGCTACATTGGGAACGTGACTGATACAATTCAGTCTGCACCAAAGAGAGGACTAGACAAACACAAATTACACTAGTTGCTTACTCGTATCCAATCAGAAGATAACAGTTTTTTAAATATACAGAGTTTTATTATAATTATTATTCTCATATACAACGTTTTGCTCAGTGATACTATCAATAATAATAATAGTAATAATAATTTAAAACATCAGGAAGAAGAGGAGATAGAATTTGAAAACAACGGGTGAATAACGAAAAGAAATTATTGAACAATTGAACGTATTCATTAAAACAAGCAGTGCTGAGTGTTTTAAATTCTTCATCTTCCTATTTTCTTTGTTCAACGCTCTTTTTTTGAATTAAACGCCATTTCCTCCATGTTGATCTACATTGTCATTTTCGAGAGAGGAAAAAAATTTGTTGACACATTGAATAGAAATAATAATTATGCATACTGTACAATTAATTATTTATTATATTGAAAAATAACAAAGAAAAAGAAAGAAAGAAATAAAGCGCATAACTTTAATTTTGATTGATTCCACCATATTGTAATAATTGTTCTTTTAATAAGGATAATTCTTTACGATGAATTTCAACCAATGATCCCTGAATAAGAAAAGAGAAAGATGAACAGAATTTGAGAAAGTTAGACTGATGAGAAAACTATTTTTAGAAAAGAAAAAAACAACAAACAAATAAACATTTTGAGGTCAAATAAACTGGATTCATTTATTCATACACTCTAAATTAAAATGTTTTCAGGAAAGTTAAATTATCAACTGAATTCATTTAGAGAACGACTGAAAACCAGTATTAACTGGATGGCTGTTTCGTCTTAGTTTGGGACTCTTCATCAGCGTGGACCGTGACCTTTAGGCTACAAGACTAGCTCACTGACCGCTTCGCCAGTACGATGGAGTCCAGTGACCAGTCAGTATATGGTACAGTAGAGACCGATGCTATAGACAAATATACTTCATTACAGACAAATTGGTAAAAGCTCTGAAGGATATTTTATCTAAGAATGGATATTCTGAGTTTATTAATAAGTATTCTAGAGAAATGAGCCCTTGCGAAACTATCCAAACAGTTCCTAAGAAATCTGTCTATATCAATTTGCCATTCAAAGGAGATGATATACAAGACGTAGTCAAACGAAGACTCGAAAGAAAGGATTTGTTCATGTGGAGGTGTGGTGATTGTAAAAAGCTTTAGCAAGTCTTTCGATGGATATATACATCCTCCATCTTCCCATCTTTCCTTAACCTAGATGAGTGGAAAGGTTAAAACTTCTTGTCATCCCTTAAACATATTCACCACAGAATCCACCATTCTAATGATCTTGTCGACCCCAATATAGGGAACCACACTAATTCTGTCGAAGGAAATTAGGGAAGGTTAAAAAACAAGATTAGAGCCATTAATGGATCGCCAAGTGTTGTTAGTTATAGATGGATGAATATATGGATAAGATGCTGTGTAGCTTTTCTATTGATACTCATATGCTAAACTGTAAGATGTTATGATATGTGAGAGAAAGGTATCCTCTGTAACACTTTTGGTGCATTGTTTTCATAAATATATGTATTTCATACCCACGAATAGGCTGTTTCATGTGATTGGTGCGTTCAAGGTTGTACTCTGATTGGTACTAACTGGTGCTTATAGTTTGACTTTGCCCAATCGAACGCTCTTATATTAAACCCCTATATGTTTGCGTTGTTGAAGAGTGCGAATCTATAATGAAGAACACCTCCGCAGAATCCTTTGGTGTTCGATCATCGTCTCAATAATGTACCGGTTGAAAATTTACTTTGTTTCAAATTCACACGTTTTAAACCAACTTTGTGATGACAGCATCATTCAGCATAAAATAGTCAGTAATTGTAAAGAGTAAGGGATAAAGAGTAACAGTGGCTAGCTGTCTTTAATCACAGACGTTTGTGTTCTGTTTCCTGTGTTAAGTGGTATAATATGGTGAGTAATATTAAGGTCAAATAAAGACAGCAAGTCGATTGACGAAGTTATGAAGATTTATCACTTGCGACAGTTAGGACACCTGTTGAGCATGCTCAGCGACTACCTCACTCGACAAGTATTGTTAGCTGATATATGCAATAAGTTGGCAAAGAGTTAACAGTAATCAAGCAAAACATTTTATCAATCCATGAAAAAGTCTGACACCTTGTTTCAGGAAGCCAAGTAGGGAGGTGTAAACTGCTTGGTTTGTGTCCTTGGAATGCTGAGAATCAGTCGCTTGGGATTATTCATGACGTGGCTCAAAATCGTCCCCAAAAGCACAGATGCATTCACTCCTTTTCATCTCTCATACCCGTTCGGTCTTCATATTTCTCTATGCGACTTTCCTTTCCCACGTACATTTCGACTGATGAAAGTAGTTTCGAGTGGTGTGTTTTTATGCATGGTTCTGTGCTGGAACTCAGTCAGTCAGCCAGTCAATTAATTAGAGTAGCTTGAATATGACGGTCATTCATTGTTTGCGGAGAATTATCCGGTTTTATTTAAGGTAGTCATCATTAAACAAGCAGTCTAACAGTCTGACATAGAAAAAAGTTGAAATCTATTGATGAGTCAAGGAATATGACGAAACAACCTTCTCAAACTAACAATTCTTACTTTATAAATTTTCACGAATGCTATATACTACTGGTTGATTGATATGAGTAGTTGGAAGCCAACAAGTACTGCCCACGAGCCAAATCTAAGAAATCAAAACACTGTATAGCCATTTCGCGGGTTTGAGGCTTGACTCATCAATGGTGCATTTATACTGGGCTACAGCCTTTTCCTCCCTGATTGCCACCTATGATATGAAGCTGACATAAATGATTTTTCGGTATTTTTGAAGGAAACCGTTTGTGAATCTCACCTTGAACTGCGTATATTAAAAGTTTCAAAAGCGTATGTGATCAATACTTGGATTAATTCTATATTATTAACATTATTGTGCCAATGTTCAATTATCGATGTTACTAAAACGTGTTTTGGAAAATATTCAAGTCTAAATTTTCCTGTTTTCACAGTTTAAGACTATCTGAGATACCTTTAGATTGCAGAAATAAATGAGGTGCATCTCTGTACCATTCCAAGCAGCTGAGTATATCTCTTAATGAAATAATGATCTGAATAACAACAGCAGCATCGTGCAGCTTATGTGGTAGAGGGTCAGATAGTATGATTTCCCAAAAACTGGGAGATATGCAAGTCCAAAGCAAAAAGTTGGCTATAGAAGATGCATAAGAGATATGACTTCCTTCAGGTGAACATAGAGAAAACAGAAGTAGGTGATGAAGGTTCCCGGCCAACACCAGCAGTAACAACAACAGACAACAACTGACCAGCACAAATGGGAGAAATCTGAAAGAAGCAGCCTCCTTTACCTACCTGCCTACCTGGGAAGCATCGTTTCAACTACACGTGGGTGGAACTGACGAGGATATCAAAGCGAGGATCGGGAAAGCAAGACAAGCTTTCACTACTCTCAAGCCTGTGTGGAGGTCAACAGCACTCAAACTGGAAAATAAAATCCGGATTTTCAACTCCAATGTGAAGTCAGTGCTACTATACGAATCAGAGATTTGGTACGTGACGAAGAGCATTTGAAACAAACAACAGCTGTTTCCACTCAACAGGACTCAAGATCAGATGGCCAGCCAGAAAAGATCAGCAACAGAGATTTCTGGGAGCGAACCAACCAGGAACCGATTGTACAACAAATACGCAGGAAGGAACGGAGGTGGATTGACCATACTTTGAGAAAACAAACCATCAAGTGACATCACTCCACTAGGCTATCAGTCGAGTGTAACCCAAATGGAAAGCGACGAGTTGGTCGTCAATGTGACATTGACATGGAGGAGGTCATACGAAGAGGAGATGGAAGCATGTGGGTAGACGTGGGGCCAGGCGAAAATGTTGGCAGAGAACCGAACGCAATGGAGACGAGTGGCTGAAGTCCTAAAGGAGACAATATTAATAATAGTCTGAAAGTCAGTAGACTCGTGGTTCAAACCTTGTTTTCGACTTGGTTCTCACTTCATCCTCAGGGATCACTCATTACAAAAAGATAAAACACCATTTACGAATAGCCGTATAACTTACCAATATATTTTCCCATCTTTCTGTAAATTGGTCTATGGCATCTGCCATTGACATCATCTGATGGTTTCTGTTGGTTCGACGAGCACGAAAAGAAGGAATAATAGGAGTTCATTATTATGCATAGAAATACACAAAGGACAAGTGATAAAAGACAGTGAAATTTAAAAGAAGATAATTGGACAGTTCCGCATTAGATAAGTCACATTGTCTGGGTCCCATCTCCAGCTGACGTATAAATAAAACTGATGAAGCCAGTAGGAAACCTGATAAAGAGGAGAGGATGCCAGTGAAGCGAGCAGTCCCATCATGTGAAAACAACGCTGCTCCTGAAACTTCAGAGCCGAAGCTCAAAGCCCTGTGTTCCACAGGGAATACAACAAAATACAAAATTAGGGAAGCTGAATGTTGATTCGAGCATCAAATAAAAGACTCAACATCATCAAGACGTCACCTCCTCACAAAATGTCATGATCAGTTTAACTGGATATCCTCTTCTATCCTTAATCGTCTACACACTCATCAAGTGAAAATGTATTTGCCAGGGTATTCGAAGTAGTTTATATTGAAACAATTGTTTTCTTTGATTGGAAAGTAGTAACTAGTATGATGTGTGTAGTCCTTCGTTTGGTGCAGACTGAATGTGGCCACCATTATAGGCAGCTCGCCTTCACAGTCCTACAGGAGGTCAATCGTGGGCCCGAATAGCTAGCTCAGTGGTTACGTCTCTGACTGCAGCACTGGGTAATGCAGGTTCGAATCCCAGAAGGGACATGAGTTCCTTCAAGGTTGCAGAGACGCCCTGATGACGAGTACCAACCAGCATGAAACCTAGATCAGTAGTGTGGGCTTTCTGCCCAATGCCTCCAACCATCTAATATCAACAACTGTTTTCTGTGATCGACTGATGTGTGTTAAGTGAGATTAACAGGTCCTAGCATAATATTAAGAAACTGATCTTGAAAAGGAGCTCATAGATCTTTTGTTATACAAGAAGTCAATGAAGGCACTTCTTAAAATCTGCTGCAGACTTTTATTTACAGCTGCTTTGTTCGATGCCTCGATACCGAAGGCTAAATTGCAGGTTATGAAAGATCAGCAGCAAGAAACTCTGATAGTGTGAGGAACCAACCAACGACGGATCGTTGAACAAATATGGAGAGGCAAATGGAAAAGGACTGGACGTAAACTAAGGGGACCGTTGAATGGCATCAAATACCAGGAAGACCCTCGAATGGAAAGTGACCGAGCTATCCGTAGGTCTGAGGTTGACATTGGCGAGATCTAACTAAGAGGAAATGAAAGTTTACGGACAACCGTAGAGTCAGCTAATATAAAACTGCATAAAACATAGTGAAGTGGAGATGTTTCGTCATGAGATAATTTAACTAACGACGTCATGATTTATGACATAATGGAGGATAGATAGATTATCTCGTCTAGGTGGTGATTTAGGTGAGATCTACATTCTCCCATGCTTTTCTGATTGGTTGATTTTCAGTCAAACATATTATTCTATACTTTGAGTGTTGTTTAAATCCTAAACCATTCCCAATTCTTCGTTACCCAGTCGCCTTCCACATGAGGGATAGTCTGGTGAGTGGTGTCACTTTGCTGCCCCTGTTCAGTGCGTACCCAATTCATAACCATCTTCTTCAGCATATTTTCGTTGCATTGTCAGTGTTCCTTGTTGCTTATCCTTCACAGTTGGCCATCTGATCATCAATACCGAGTCAGTGAAGGCATCTGATAATGTAAATCTACAGCAGCGTATTAAAAGTGCTTCCTATGATATGCTTTTCAAGTCTATCAATCATAAAGAAGCACTGGTTGAGTTGGCGTTAATGCTGAAGATTCCTATCTTGTTCCTTGTAGTGAGTGCAGTAGATTCACACATTTATTTCACAGTAATGAAAGTCTGTCTTGTAAAATATTTGGGCGCCGAGTGAGAAGTAGACATTTGTAAAAATTATATTTGTAATATCTCAGCGATATTGAAATAAGTAATTCCAACGTTTCGTTCGGCAATCTGGTTCGAACTTCTTCAGGGAAATTAATCAAAATTAACATAACAGAGGTTTTATATATAAAAGGCACATCTTTTGTTTTTAAAAACTTTGTCCAATCATGATTCATAAACACAAGTATTAACAAGTATAATAAACAAAATTGTATGAGTTGTGATCAAAATTTGACCACGGACTTACAAATATTGGTCTACCTTTGTTAAACACTTTAAACAGAGTGTGTGTGTGTGTGTGTGTGGGTAAACAGTTGTAAAACATTTCTTAACGTCTCCATAGGAAGATATAGACAGTCAGGAATTTGACCAAGTATTATTAATTAGTGATACATATCCATTTTTATTTATTAATCAGGATTTCCTATGCATCAGCTAACATCAAACCTTCATGTCCGTTCAAACTGCTAGTATCTAGAATTTTGATTAATTTCCCTGAAGAAGTTCGGACCAGATTGCCGAACGAAACGTTGGAATTACTCATTTCAATATCGCTGAGATATTACAAATATAATTTTTTACAAAAGTCTGTCTTGCTTCTGCAATGTCATTGTAGCTGACAATCTATATCCTCATCTTTTGAGTCTGTAGCGGGAACGATACTGACCCGATGAGTTCACCGAAAGGTACAGTTTCCTTCAAATTTCTGCTTTTGATAGTGATAGATATTTGCTACTGTCAATATGTGTAAAACTTGGGCACTATGGTAGTAAGTAATTCCATATTAGTTTGTTTATTAGATGTATCACACAGTGGATGACAAGGTTTCGAACAAAATTTATTGTGGTTCATAAACATAGCATCAATTATAATCACATGACTTCGAAACTTGAGTTTTATAGTTTTCTTTGTTCTCTCCTATTTGTCATCGTTCGGGTAGTAGAATTTTCCGGATATCTGAGTGAACAGGTGTTGGATCATTCCTATTACACGTGCTTGCAGTTGATTCAGTAAACAAAGCTTCTGTTATCAATCTCTCCTTCCGTCCTGTGACATTCGATTTTAAAACTGTCATCCTATCCCATCCTATTGCAAGGTTGTGTGTAACTACATGTAGTGGTATCTATGGCTGAACTATTCTCCAGATTTCTTATCTTATTCGGGTTAACTAATCTAGATTTTGCTGCTAGGTTTTTACTCTTCGGTACTCTGACTGCAGCTCTTCTACTACTTTGACCTATGTATTTGACTTGACAATCATTGCAGGTAGGGTATTACATAAACTAAATTGCTCTGTTTTATAGGCTCCACAGGATGCTACTTTAAAATCGAATCTCACAGGGTGGAGGGAGAGATTGATAACAAAAACTTCGTTTATCGAATCAACTGAAGACACGTGTAATAGGAATGATTCAACACCTGTCCGCCCAGATATCCGGGAAATTATACTACCTCAACGACGAAAAATAGGAGAAAAAAAAAAGCTATAAAACGCAAGTTTCGAAGTCGTGTGATTACAACTGATGAAATGATTGTAAACAATAAATTCTGTTCGAAACCTTGTCATCCAGTAAACAATGCTGTTTCACTGTGTGACATATCTAATAAACTAACTAATATGGAATTTTCTGTTGTTGTTTGTGAAAGTATCTTTATCACCTCTAACTTCTCTATGTTACTGGCTAATTATGAAACCAAGTAATTCTGAACCCTCTGTTGTTTTACTTCAATTTAGATTTTTCAGTCGTTCAACCGAAGTGCTCGGTCTCAGGTTGACATTTCGGCTCCTTGTGCAGATGCTTCGACGATATCTGGTCATGCACCTCGAAGTCAGTTGGTTGATGCTGACTACCAGTGGAATTTTAGGACAATGCGCGTTTCGTCCTATTTGGGACTTATCAGCACAAGAACTGGCTGTCATGGCCCAAGTGGTCTATTGGATAATGCTTTGGCGTTTGAGACTATGGGCATTGGCTTCGAGCCTCGGTTAGAATGCAGGTACTTCCATCTGACGAGTCCCAAATCATTGGACGAAATTTGCACCCTGGTGGATTCCACTGCTAGTCACCACCAGTTAATTGACTTCAAGTCTCTGATTTTAATTAGAATCCCTTCAATAGTAAACAACTCATGGAACTAAGAACTTAGAGTCGGTATATCAGCACTCACTTTTCAAAGGTTTATTGTCAGTCATAAAAATAACAATACACTCACAAAAATTAATCCAAAATCACAATACTTACTGACTGCACGAGGTATTTAATAATTTTTCCGCTAAATTTAAATTGTTATTAGTAGCAGTTTTACGGATAGATGAATTTTTATCATTTTGTTTCACACTATCTCCATTCGTTGGGTTTATAGATAATCTCGATATCTCTTTACTTGTATTCTGATCAAATGGTGTACTAGTAGAACTTCGTGTACTATTTCCAGTTGAAAATAAATTGCCCTGTTTGTATAAAAGTGGAGATAGTGTCGGTGAATAGGTGGTTGTAGAGCCGCCTGATGGAGATTTACCTCCTTGAGCATTACCTGCTCGTCGAGTACGTGATTCACATAGCCGTCGAGCTGCATGCTTTCTGATAACAATCTAAGATTGAAAATTGAAAAAAAAATAGGAAAAAAGTGACATTTAGGGAAATCAAAGGTTCACTGTTTAAAATCTTAAGATTTTATTTTAACCTTGATCTTGGATTGAAGGCTTTCAACGAATGAAAACAGTTTGCTTTCAAACATGGTTGATGTATTTCGAATGTCATTTTTGCTTTACATAAAATACTGTCTCCAATTTTGAAAAATGTGCTGAATAAGTTTGGTGTATGTTCCTTGATTACACATCTAACTTCGACTCTGCACATGAGTCTCTTTTGTTAAACAATCTTACTGGATTAATAAACATTTGCACTCATTTTTCTAATGGGAAGCAGTCTCCCACTGCTTTACTTACTGTAGCTGAGGTCACTCCACGTAGTGTTCTTTCTCCTTTTCTGCCTTTTTTCCTCTTAAAAATCCCCATTGATTCATATGAAAAAGAGAAGACGTTCAGCGAAGAGACTCTTTTCGGCGAATTCATTCACTTAGCTGCCCCCGCAGTTCCATCTTAGAACATCTGATAGAATCTGGACACCAAGCTACACCCCCCAAACAAACTTCAAAGTCGTCTACACAGTAAGAAGTAGTCTTCCTAAAGGTGTACCAATCAGACTTCTTCAAACTGCAGAAGCAATGGCGATTCACTTGCTAAGTCCTGAACTCTGCATACAGAAGAAGTTCGATCACTACACTTGCAATGGACGTAATCTATCTTATTAGCCGACAAGTAAATTCTACCTAATCTTTTCTTCTGTCTCTTAATTAGTATTATTTTGTCTTCTCAATTGTAATATTCTACATTTTCAACTTTCTTGTTCTCTACCCCCATTTGATTTAATTTCTACACCTCACTACCACTGTTACTGATTGAACGAGGCTCAATTTTTAGTCATTTATGTTACGTCATCCAACTTATTTGCTCAATTTCACTTCTACTTAGTCTCTACCTGTAATTACCTCTGTTGCTCCCCTGATCTAAGTTGAAACATTTTAGTCAATTAAATTACGTCATCTAACTTACTAACTCAATCTTACTTAAGTTGCTGTCTGATTAACTTTGTTTCCATATTAGATCATTCTTGTATTACCTGATCAATTATCTAAACTTGACAAACCTCATGTACACACACACACAAATATTTATATATAAATGCGATTTTACAGCTATGTGAATGAATTCGCCATCGAAAAGAGTCTCTTCGCTGAACGTCTTCTCTTTTTCCTTCTTATCTGACTGGCCTCATCCTAATGAAGCCAATTTTGTTAAGCATACTGATGATCTGAATGTTTCTATATCCGTTACCTCTCATTCAGATTGTCCCAAAAAGAATAGCTTTTTATCAGAAAGTAGTCAGTGGTTCTTGCTGAACGGTCTTAGGCTAAATCCTTCCAAATATCAGGCTGTTAATTTCACTTTTAGACGCGGGTGTGACCTTCCTGAAGAGGTTTGCTATCATGATTCTTGTAACATAGAAACACATTACCTTTTCTTCTCACATGATGCTAATTTCTAGAAAGTTATTTCGGTTACCCTTCTATATAAGAAAGTCAGGACAATGTGGTATCACTCAGTCAGTACTTCTGCACTTCCTTAACTCATGCATTCTGCGCATTCTTCTTTTTTGATCCCCTTCAGTCTTTCCTGAGACTTTGTTACATTTCAAAGGGTATTGAAAACCTATCGGCATTGCGAGTGCGGTGGCGCTAAACCAATTCTTTAATAGAATTTAACTGGTGGATGGTGACTAGCAGTGAAATCCAGGACGCGCGTCTCGTCCTATTTCGGACTCGTCGGCTGGATGTGCCTGCATTCCTCAGTGAGTGATGATGTTCCCACCGAGGCTCGAACCCAGTACCCATAGTTTCAAAAGCCAAAGCGTTATCCATTAGACCACTTGGGCCACGAGAGTCACCTCTTGTGTGGCTCGGTGGGAACATCATCACCCACTGAAGAATGCAGGTACATCCATCTGACGAGTCCGAAATAGGACGAGATGCACATCCTGGATTCCACTGCTAGTCACCACCCACCAATTAAATTCTAATAACATGCCCAGACATCGTTGGAGCATCTGCACAAGAAGCCGATATGTCAACCTGAGACCGTGCACTTCGGTCCAATCAGTCGACAGGAAAATCTAAAATTCAATGGAACAACTCTTTAATACTTTTGCGAGTAGACAATTAAACTCATGCAAGGAGTTGGAGAATATCATCTTGCCGGACAGTGGGCACCCTCTTTATATGTGATTCGCCTCTTGCGTTTCGTCAGACAGTATTATAAACAGTTACAAGAGAAGTTATGGCCGGCTGACTTAGCATAAAACCTCAGGCGTACTTTATTTGCAGATATTTTGTGTGATGAGAAAAGTGCTAACTATGGAGCTGCGAACTTACTGAGAAACTGTACGTTAACGTCTCCTTTTATTCTTTCACTCCTTTATATACTGTCGTCAGTATGCCTATTGACTTCCAGTTTTAATTTTGCATTCATTTAAATAATTATCAACGTGGGTGCCCTGTCAATCATTTTGCTCCAGTTAGATGCAATATTGCCCTATCAAACGTGATATTTGCAAAAAAGCGGTTATTATTACTATTATTATTCAAATTCCGAGTGGAATACGTGGCTTCATCGGAACATTTCCATTCCACTCAGTTCTCTATCATCCCTGTAGACCGGCTACACGGCCGTGTCCAAGCCTTCGTTTCCTCTTCAAACTATCTTCTCCATGTCACTCTCAGACGCCTGAGTTGTTGCTCTTCATTCGTTTCCTACTTGTTGCCATGGTCTAAGATGTAGCATGGCTGATGCCTGGTTCATTGTCAGAGCTTCTTGCTAATTATTCATTACGACAGGACCGTCTAACTTTCATAATTGAGTGGAGGGAGATTTCAATGGAAGTCTGAGGAGCTTGACTGTTTGAAATGCTTTCGGTTTTGCATACGGAGTATGGAAGATTTGTTTAATGATCTCAGAGTAGTGATTGCCTGTCTTGCTTTTCCAGACTTGGTATGGGTTTGGCATCCTCACCTTTGTTGCCCGACGTTGAAACAATGATGACAGATAAGTGAAGAGAATCTGGAGCTTTCGCAGTGATGAGTGGTGTTCTCTATTGTTGGTTGGATTTGATTGCATAAAATCTTTAGGAAAAGTGGTTACATCATACAACTCATCTCCACTATACAGATTAAAGATACGCTAGTGGATTACTCGGAAACAACAAATTTAACTAACGTTAACGGTCCTAGATTCCAGTAAGACGATGAAAAGAATTCACACATGCCTTTCTAAAAAATTCAACTTCAATCCAGCATCTTAATGTTCAAATGGGGTTTGTTTCGTCTGCAAAGGACAGACAAACATAATAATCGTGTCATTTTGTAGACAGTTACTCAATACGCCAGTGACAAATAGAACTGCTCATGTTAATGTTTCTGAAGGATGAAAAGCCTTTGCACTTTCGACTGTGCTCAACAACTGTTCACACATTTTTCGTTGTTTTTAGAACCAAAAAATATGAACTTATAACTTCATCCTATAGTATCTTGTGAATATAAATGACAATAATGTATAGTACACACAGTTTCACCAAACTTCTTCAAATCATCATGAACAAAAGTTGATATTCACAGCTCAGGGAATTCCAATGCACTGACTGGATGGTTAACGGGCTGGTCTCGTACCCTGAAGATACTAGATTCAATACCTCATGGGGTCACTGGAATGCAATACTAAAGATCCCCAGCCTATGGCAAAGCAACTGTTAAGGATTTCTTGGTTTTCAACTTTTTTTGATTATAGCTTGATTTCACACCGTATATTTGGTAGAAGTATGGAATTTTCAGCAAATGATATCGGTAGCCCAAATTTTGTAGGCCGACCACAGATATCAAGTGTCCGTCTGTAGAGGATCGAACCTTAAACCATATGCATGGTCGGCGAGAGTCCTAACGGCTGTGCCACCGAAACACTCTAACTGATATTGGTTTGTGCAAAAAATTCACAATGAAACTAATTCAAATGGCAATATTGAGTTATTCAGGCTAAAATAGCTCCATGAGAATCTGAACTCAAATCGAATCCAATGGTTGCAAATCGAACTAATTAAAGTAAATGAACCGCATCTTAATATCTCATTATCAGGACTTCACTATATGTCTCTGTTGTTTTCATTAGCTACACATCATGACTATTTTCACACTATCTTGCACAGAAAACATGACTCAAAATCACATCTAAATCTTTGCTGATAAAATTAAAATCAAAATGAGCAAGGAAACACTCAAAATGTCCTTTTCTGGCTTTCATATATTCCCTGAAATCTATAGACAAAATCAATTTTACCAACTCATTAAAATCTTCAAGTGTTGGTTTGTAGGGATTTGATTGGTTACAGGATTTTTATCATGAGCTGACATTAGTTAGAGAACCATTGGAAAACCAACTGGGATTACTAAACAGCTGTTTCGTCCTAGTTTGGGACTCTTCAGCAGTACGCACCTACCGCCACGGTTCGAACCCAGGACCTTCTGGTTACAAGGCGAGCTCGTATTCAATTGACCCATTGGGACCCAATCTAATGGCCCATGAATTCTAACTTCTGCCAATTCACGACATAGCGCGACCACTAGCCAATGTTTTTGGTGAGTATTTGTCCTCACAGCCGACCTGCTGCACCCTACTGGTCACGACTTCTCACTATAACCCCGGGTAACTACCTACCTGAATAGGGCAAGTCGCTAGTGAGCATCTCACTGATAACTAGTTGAAATGTCATGCATCACTCACTGCTAAAATAACTCACTGACTGAGTTTCATTCATCGTAGGGCAGATTTATTCAATAAAATCATACAGTGATATGCACCTGTACCACTGAGAACGATTATGAGCGATATCACCAACACACTTAAGCCATTAGTCCTTAGCCTATCGACCACCCTACCCAGAAAGTCTACACTTCTCTATGTGGAGCAAACTAAACGTCAAACACTGT